GCGTCCCACAGACGTCCAATGGACGTCCGCGGTACCAAATTCGAACGTCCTATGGACGTCCTGAATGTCCCGACAGGACGTCCTAAGGATGTTCATGGGACTCAAGTGTGTTATTAGGGAAGTTGTCTTAAACACGTTGTAAATAACATTTGGAATATATATTCACATAACCAGTGACGCGTCATTTTCTGTGACGATGGAATTTTGCAGTACGAGCGAAGCGAGATCCCGCAAAACACAAAGTAACACAAAATGCGTTTCCTAACCTGTTACGTGCGATATCTTTTTTTATGAAAAATTCCGCTTGAACAGAAATAATGACCGATTCTACACTCGGTTCTACATAAGATCGGCCAATTATGTACAAAACTTATTATAGTCATAGCAGGCAAGTTGACTTCGCCTGTCACTTTGAAGTAGCCGTCAAACAATAATATGCTCGATGATATGGTCACAAATCAGCTATGAAATTCAAGAAATAGACTCGTTTGATATTCACATTAGTGAAAAATGACTGATTCAAGATCAGATTTCTGTGATATTGAGAAAGCAGCACAAAATGCACTTTTCTCTTCGTCCATTCATCCATTTCATAACTTGTGTTGAAATGAACAATTCATCACCAGTTATGTAATATCTTACCTTACGCAACTGATTACGTGAAGTAAGACTTTTCGAAACTTCCGTCAGTTCTGAAAAGTGTGAAATTACATGTCAAAATTAGGCGTTCGCCTTCCTTTTGGCGTCAGCTTGAAATTTGTCTACCCGTACTGTAGATAACCTTTTCCAGACATAACGTAAATCACTATCATTTTTATTTTCGTAAGATTCTTCTTTTATGTCTAATTTCAATCGTATCTGGAATTCTTATTTTTTTATAGAGACACTATTCAAAATGTCTACAACATACTTTTTCAACCTCACGTCTTTCAAATAACAAATGAAAAATATTGTCTCACAAAAATATTGAACGCCTGGCAACAATGCAGGTACCTGCATCGAACCCTTGATTATCCCTAACAACACCGGATCTTGCTGGTACATCCCGCTAAGGTCCTACAAATGTCCCAATGTTTCAGACTTAGGTACGATATCCCAGATATGTTTCTCTTGGGACATCCATCAGATGTTTTCATTGAATGTTCTAGAAACATCCCATTTGATCTTTTTTTATAAACAATATCATGGTTCCATATTCGCTAATGATGATTGGCATGATTGAATAGTTCAAACAATTGTGACATTTGAAACATTAAAGAGTTGGTAAAAAATGGAAAACAAAACTGTAATCGTACTCATATACTTATACCTATACCAAAGCCGGCTAATTTCATCGATAACAAATTGAAATAATTATACCAAATATTCCTCAATAGGATTACCAAAGTACCTGTTAAACCATGTTATAAACGACAAAATTGAAATATATCTGTCCAGCATATTTATTGCTGAATATATTTGTTATACCAGCCGATAGATGGCGGTGCAACTACGTTGCTAAGAGTTACTAACAGCCGTCGGCCCAGCGCCAACAAATATGAGCCTCAAACAACTGTTATCATCTTCCATTAGTTATTGGACCGCACCGACCTTTTATTTTCGGATTCGGATTGTTATATACTTTATATCTGGAAATAGGTCATCCATTTTCAGGATTTCAGATTGAAAATAATTCATACCGTGTCATCCATTACTGTCATCAAACAAATAACATCCTAGAAGTTTCTTCAAGATGTTCCATATCAAGTACCCTGAATGTCTCTGGTACATCCCGTATCATCCCATAAACATTCTGATGGGATGTTTATTAGACATCGCAAATGCTGACAAGGGTGTTGCCAGCAACATCCCAAGAATGTCCGAAGGAAAATAGGGATTTTTCAGAGATGTTCCTATCATCCCATATGGATGTTTCTACGACGTCTTACAGATGTTATTAGGGATATGGGTCAACCTCTTCATGCAGTCGCCCGCATTTCTGTCGGGTCGTTAGTCTCTGGGAGGTTATTCCCAAAAGTTGCTGAGAAACTTAACATGGCAAAATCTTCCAAAATATTTTTTTTTTACAAAAATGTATTCTTTCATTTCAATTCATCTTTTCGTGTTCTATTACCCATTTCATTAATTACCCCAATTTCGGAAACACCCAGTAAATACGAAATTTGCAACAATACTGAATTGCACTTATACCCAATGATTGAATGAAAAACAATACATTTTTATTAATATATTACTTTTGTAATTGATTTAATAACCATAATTTTCATTTTATTTACCTCAGAACAAGTTATACTTCGAATGGTTTTCTTTGTTTATTCAATATCGTAACTTTTTAATTCATATTATCATTTAAACATTTTGAATAAACTTCATTATTATTATTATTATTATCAAAACCTTTTGAAAGCCATGCAAATAAGTTTATTGTAATCATTATGTTAGTGTTTGTTTGAGATGCATACACAATCTGTAAAAGTCGATGTTTTCTTACAATTAATGGTAATGTGATTACTAACAGTGATGATTGAATTAAAATTTCAAATTTACTCGAGGATAAATTGTTAGTGGAGGTAATTCAATTAATAGGTTGAGTATTTATCATTTCAGGCTAAGCCGAGAGATATAATGTTAGGGAAATCAAATCTATGACAGCCTCACTATGGCTAGCAAGTCAATGTAATAATTCGATGACTGGGAATAATAACGTAGAGAAAGGAAATAGCAGATGTTATTTCGTATCTCACGAAGTAGGAGAACACTATTACAAGGTGAAAACCAATATGAGAAAAAGGTGAGCATCTATATTGTTATCGCTTCAATGGATATCAGAAATAACATATCAACAGGTAGTACTCACTGAGGATCATCCATCATTATACTCTTACTCAAAATCAACCATCAACCATTGTATGAGTAGTAGCTTCCTCATACTAATTGAACTGCATCAGTAACATTGTATCCAAACAACACAAAACAAGCAGCAAAACTCCACTGGTTGACAGATACGGTTATTGCCCCATTAGCAATAATATGGGTTGAAATTTGGGTGGCATCAAACCATAAATCGCAATGTGAACTATTCAAATCACATTATCATAACCAAAACAATGAACAAACACCGCCATGACAGCATGTCAACTGTGTGCTCTGCTAAGTGCCCAAATCGAGAAAGCGATCTCGATCAGTCTTTGTCGAAACTTGGCGAAGTCAAGATTACACCGTCGAACCTACTCACATCACACTATAAAGTCAGAGCGCTGGGTCTAGATAAGTGCTATATGAATTGGCCTAAGCAAGTGAATTCGTATTTAAAGTGAAATGTCAACACTGATCTATTAACACAGTTTGGGCAATCGTATGAAAATGAATTCTACAGGTTGATATTCTAATTATTGTTATAATAATAAGAAGAACACTGTCTGTAGGTTAATCGAGTACGTGGTATATTCATTATTCCAGATTTTTTGGGATGTCTCCTAGTTTCTATGAAATAAAAATATGAACATCATTTCAATATACGTGTAGTAAGGACAAATCAGATGATTTGCCCCAAAATATCACTGCGTTTGAAGAATTCTCCTGTCAGAGAGCCTAAAAAAAAGTCACTAACTTGTCAGTGACCATTTGTATTGAAAAAGAGTTGGAGAAGAGAAATAAAGAAATAAAGGTATATAGAAAAAATATCAGTTTTTCACATAGCTTTGGACGTTTCGGGAACGAATCTGCTGCCGTTTTCAACATTGAAAATGCATATTTGAATAGCAATTTCACTACTGAAATGTGAAAATGGTAAATTCAAGATAAATTAATTGAAACATCCTGTAACTCATTTGATTGCCAACGTCACCAATTGTCACTGGGAACTGAAAAGGGCCAAGACAAATAAGAAATTGCTATTCAAATATCCATTTTTTATGTTGTAAACGGGAGCAGATTCGTTCCCGACACGTTCTTTATTTCTCTTCTCCAAACCTTTTTCAATACAAATTGTCACTGACAAGCTAGTGAATTTTCCTTTTAGGCTCTCTGATAGGAACATTCTTTAAACGCAGTGACATTTTGGGGCAAATCATCGGATTTGTCCTTACTACACGTATATTGAAATAATATTCATATTTTCATTTTATAGAAACGAGGAGAGAAAATCCCAAAGAAACTGGAATACTGAAGGAATAAAACACATCGCCAAGTGGAACTCTTTGCAGGAAACCGTATCAGCATCTTCACGTATATGACTCGATCACAATCACAAGTAGTAGGAAAAAACAATATACAGGCTGTCCTGCCAAATATACGTTGAAATGTTATTTCTCTAGTAGAAACACGATGTGAACTGAATATCACTCCGAATGACCGAATAGCTACAAATCATTCCTCAAATTGATAAAAACGAATAGGACGATTTGTGTAAAAAATGTTAACAATCCGCCACTGTTATTTGTTATCCGTTGCACTTACGAAGAAAGTGTTACTACAAAAAATTTGGAGAATTCAGCATTCTACAACTTTGTCCAAGTCGCAGGAACAACTATTAAAGAGTCTAAAATAACTGATTTTTTGTACCTTCAATCCAAGATGGCGGTTAGTGCCAACCGCCCTCAAGGTCGAAAACTTGGAGATCTCACCGAGGCCCCAAACTAAACAACATACCTATACAAAAATCATGACAACTCCATCTTTTGCAAGACAAAGACCTTCCTTAGTCCCTAATAACTTGATAACTACTATGTCTTTATTGACTAGTGGTTCATAAAATGACGTGAACTAACTTGGTAGTAAAAACACACTTTACATCTTGAAAATGAGTAAATAATTGTAGATTGTATAATAGGCTAGTGGTGGAAAAATACTTCCTACACTGATAGCGCTGTGAGGTGCAAGTGGATTTATAACAATGAAAGAGGTGGTGCCCGAGTTATAACAAGATTATAAAACATTGTGAATTCCTATATAAAACACTAAGAAGGTATCTTAAGGTAGATATTAATAAGAACACAAATCTGTCAAATTTCAATTCATTGATATTTTTATCGTTAACAGTTGAGAAGGAAATATAAGCGAAAAACAATCTCGATTACAGTAATCATTGACAGAAATATTAACAGACGGTGGGACCTACATAATAAAACAAAATAAGCAAAATTAATCGCCCTGTAACTTTTTTTATTCCTGTCCGATATTTAACAAATCGTAGATTTTTGTTTCGCAATGTTAACTTGGATTATTTCCCAAAGAAAGCTGATGGATTGATTCTTATACAGGGCCAAACATAAGTTACTACATATTTCACGCTCAACTTCTCAATGCCCCGTGGCAAAGGTGAGTGATTGAACTTAGCTTTATCGTGTTTTGGATTGAGCTGCGATCACTTGTTATTTATTCACGTCAATATATTCTTTTTCAGGGAAGGTATCGTTTTAAGAAAGTATGGATTTTTTGAATTTGCTGAACATACATGAACTTATCGAATAACAACTCGAAGAAACATCTGAAAATTGATATCTACCCCCCCCCCCCCGTTTTTTGAGCATTCCAAATACATACCTTAGTTATTGAAAGCAAACAAACCTCTGACCTCTTTAATGTAATCAATATCATGTATGCCCTCCTCGAACTTGAATTATAGCATTTAACCATCTTGGCATTGGGTTGACCAAATTTCTCAAGCAGTCTTGGAGAATTGCCTCAAATTCTCCTCAAAGGGCGAATCGTAACTTTTGAAGAATCTCTGACAAGGCCGGACGACGGCAAATGAACCTCTAGAGTGCATCTCGAATATGCTCTATAGGTTCTTAATTATTATTGACTATTCCACTCTTGTTCTCGAGAACCAATCAGAATCAACCATTTTCACGGTTTCTCCTGTATTACAGCGATATGTTTTGTTTAATAAAAATGATCGGACATGATCAACCAATACAGAAGCCGAATTGACCCACACGTGACCAACCAACCTCGTTTTTTCAGCGATAAAATTGTTGACATTCAAATTGTCAATTATGTTGAAAGCCATAATGTTATATGCAATAGTGATACTATTTTTCCTGAAAATATCCGTCGATTGACATACTCCAGCTTGCTGCTTCAATTTCGTTTATAACATTGTTCCAAAACTACTCATCAACGTCTCGAAAGTTTTGATTTTAAAACAATGTCATTCGCGAAATTATTAGGCAATAAGCTGTAGTAACAATCGCCGAATATTTCTGGCAAAATAGTATCACTTGTGGTATCACAAAATATACAGGGTGTATCTAAATAACACCGGAAAAATTCAAGGGGTGATTCCTTGTGATATTTTAGGAAACAAAGTTCATATAAACATGTGTCCTAACTTGCTTCGTTTTCGAGATACAGGGTATTGATATTTCCATGGAAAATCTCGTTTCTATTCATTTCTCAATTGTCTTTTCATAAATTTCAATAAAACGTTGTGGTTTCGTTCGGTTTAATATTTCCAGTGGCGTCACAGTGGGCAAATTTATCGATATTCATGGTGAACGTCATTGAACGCCACCGGTTTTTCTGAGTTTCATATTCATATTTGATTTAACTATCGAAATAACACCTTTTTTACCCTCTGTGTGATTTTTGTATTTAGCTTAGTTTTTGAGAAAACAACAAAAATTCAATTTGACTCCAAATTTTAATGTAGGTGTTTTCAAGACTTCCATTGAGATAACCCAATAACTCCAATTAGAATCATTTTGGAATTTCGGGGCTTCCTCAGTCCCCATCGATACTGAATTTTGGAACCATGAAAGCTTATACAGGGAGGTTATAAATGAAAACAATTAATACTCTCAACTTCAACATCCTGTATCTCAAAAACGGAGCAAGTCAGGACTAATGTTATATAAACTTTATTTGTTAGAATATCACAAGGAAACACCCCTTGAATTATTTCGGTGTTATTTAGATACATCCTGTGTAATGAAAATAAAAAATGTCCATACTTTCTTCAAACACTTGAGATCACACCTCTTTCGAAACATAATGAAGCAGGAGGTTGGAGAATGGTTCTGAATTATTAGTCCAAGAGCCTGCTACAAATTTCGACTGTTATTTGATAACGAAATGATATATGTTCCACAGGCATGTGAAACCATTGTAGTGTATCGAACGACATATGTGCCAATCACTATCCTGAGCAGAAATTTACACATAATTTCATGATTTGACAACGAGATTATGCCATCCGATACCAATTGAATGTTAGATTTCAGACACCTAGCTCAGCCACTTCTCAGTCTGAGCCAAATCCACGGCACAGCGATTTATTCGCTGTAATCAGTCCCCTTTGCGAATGTCCAAACGTGCCGCGATTTAAACGGAGCTAAGTTAGTGGCAGAGCGCCATTATTTCCGAGAATATTTCGCCATTCTCGAATGATAATATCCGATGGACCAGTGTTAAACTCTACATGTGGATTCGAATGCTTGTAGTGCGAGTACCACATGAGTTTAACACTGAGCCATCGGATATTATATCTCGTCAAGGACGAAATATTCATGGAAATACTGACGCTCTGCCTTCAACTCAGCTCAGTTTGAATCGCAACACGCTTGGATATTCGCAAATGTGGCATTCTCCCCTTTCATTTGCTTTTTGTTCCAACTCGTTATCACATGACGGAAGTATGTCCGGAATAACAGCAGCAAATACATTTATGTGCCGTGGATTTGGCTCAGATTAAGGGGTGGCACAGGTAGGTGTCTGAGATCTACTATTCAGTTGGTATCAGATGGCATAACTCTCAACTCGTTATCAGATCGCTAGATATCAGATAGATACTACTAGTATCTTATCTCAAAAGTTAGATATCGACGTTGATCAAAAATCATTGTGTTAAGAAGGGATCACACTTCAATCCTTAACATGATGAAGCTGAGATAAACCACTCAACTTTGCCACAGAGCATTAAAAAGTTGAGGGTGAATATGTAACTTCTGTTGTTCCCTGTATTTTGACCAAGCCATCAGCTTTTTTTATGAATCAAAATTCAGGCTGCCACTCCAAAACGTGAATCTACGATTTGGTCGAAAGTTTACCAGAATCGGTCAAGAATTGAAATACAATTTGGCTTAATTTTTTGCTGGCCGGTTCTTTTTGCCAGTGAGTGTATTATCCAGAAGGTACTGTCAATTGCCTAAAGAATCTCTAAATCACAATGTCTTATCTCCGGGTGATTTTTCTGAAAAAAAAATGTATAGGTAATCACTGTTAATTTGAATACACATTGAATTCGAAAATACTTACTCTTAACTTCATTTCTATTCTGTCAATCTCGCCACCCATCATATCAACTAGATTTTCACCGTGTTTCAACATGAATTCTTCTAACTTGTCAATGTTATCAATTCTCTTGATTTCCTGAAAAGAATATTGGAATTACTTTAATTTGAATATGTTGATGCATCTCACTTCTAATAACTCGTTCAATTCCTGTTTGTCTAAATAAGCTCTTGTCAATTCTCTTCCATCAAAATCTAATTCTGCTTTATATCTGACCAAATAACTGCCCATATCTATTCCTTTCACATCATGGATTGCTCTTATCATTATGTCTTTTTCTAGCTCGGTGTTTATTTTATTCAAACTCTCTTCTGGAATTGACCTGAAAAGTTCCAACATAATAATTACCTACTCTCGAATGACCAACAAATTCAGATAAATCATTTCACAAATAATTCGAATATACTCTGTGAGCAATCTCGGAAACTACGAGATTCAGAATAGGTTTAATGGGAAAAAAGTTGCGCGAGTGAAGGAACAACAAAATGACTTTCAAAAATTCCCGATATGAATTTTTGTTTCAGTTATTTCCAAGAAAAAAAAACGGGATTTCCGGATATTCAATTTCAGTTTTTCTGGCGTTAATAATGAAGTTACGACGAAACTGAAAACAACACATTCAAGGCCACTTCGATGCTATTCAAATTGGCGTCATCGATTTCGAGATCCAACGTTTTGTCTTTGAGCAACCATCATCAACTTCATTTTGTCAAATACGGCCCTGATATTCTGATATTAGATTCGAATAGCCCTTGCCATTCTGATTTCGACAATATTTTTTTTTATGAAGCACACGGAAGGCAATTTCTATAATTGCGGTCTTGGTGCATTTTGAGCCTATTTTGGCCATCATCAAGTATAATTCTTGGACCTGAATTTTTCATAATTTCGTAAGAGAAAATTCATTTATCAAATTGAACATTCGAAAATCAATACACATCTTAGAATTCCTGAATTATCAATAATTCAATAAAAAATAACAGTAAAAAAATAAACAGCTGCACTGATCATATATGAAATATTTAATTGGAACAGATACAGGGTGATCAGAATTCTGAATCATGAATTGTATTTTTCCAATTGAATTCCAGTAGATAGTGAATCAAAAGTTAAGATAGGGACATGTGATCCGTTTTTATCGACACAAAAAAATCCTAAAATTGAAAAATCCCGATTTTGAACACCCTATATTTCTGTAATCATTCCTGCTGGACCCCAAGTGTGATGCATTGATAAAACCAGCTCTTCAGGAACAATCTGGAAGTGCAATAAAATACGGGGTGCTCTATTCAAAACAACGAAGTTGCTAGTTAAATCGTGAAAATCATCCATATCCCAAAGTGGTCCAATAAAATTTCAAAAGAAAAACAAAAGACTCAAAGTCAGTCGACCACACATTTGAATCTCCTGCCATACAACATGATTTTGCCTTTCTCAACTTAATTTTTAATAATGTTATAGTGTGCCCATAATTTTGTCGGTAGGTTTTGTATTCCTTCCTTCTTCATACTGTTTTATCTAATTTATATTTACAGGTACTTTTTGTCTGATGATGGCCGTTGTGCCGAAACCGGTAACATGTATTTGACGATATAGTGTTATATAAATGTGTGGTCGACTGACTTTGAGTCTTTTGTTTTTCTTTTGAAGTTGCTAGTTGTTCCTGATAGAAGTTGCAACACTGTATCGATGAAAATATTTTAGACGGGATAGAGAATGTTCGATTATCAAAGCATCTCAATGTTCAGAATGTTCTGCCTCTTCGTTCTCCAGATACTTCTAATAGGTCATTCACCGTGGATCACCTTCTATATAGGTACACATGTACAGAGATAAAAATATAATACAATTGAAATTAATGATACCAAGCACCACTGAGTAAAATGAATTGAAAAACAGAAATGTCAAAATGACATTTTTGAAACACCTGGGATTAGAATGTTGAGATTGAAAACATTAGAATAACAATAAGCTCTTTGACAGTTCATCCAAAAAACATTTGTAAAATAATGAATTCATGGTAATAAACGATAGGAAGGGCTAAAAGTATATATATGTCATGTTATAATAGTGAATATTTTAATCGAATATTAGGTCCTTATAGAAATTATCTGGTGTTGACTGATTTATTCTTCTGTGAATGAGAATCATAGTGAAATAGTACAGTATGTTCTCCATTGAAAACCATCTAAGTGTCATTAACATTGATCTTATAGGGGTGAAACGATTTGTTTTCAGTATTATTCTCATTCCACGGTTCTGGAGCTTCTGGATTCAGGTTTTGAGGTACAAACTGAAATGGGTGATAGATTTCATGATTTTGATCAATAAATTGTGTATGAATGTGTGAAGAAAGCAATTCGGATTTTGGTGTGGTCAATACATTTTAGAAGATCATCATATGAAGCATTTTAAAGATTGTTAATATCCAAAGGGTGATACGTTTTTGAGGGTTGAGGCTTCTTTATTCCCCACATACTTTTTCGTAGTACCCCTCTGACATCTCCCAGTTACCAAATAGGGTGGAACGTTCAATTGAAAGACTTTATCTGCATCTCAATTTTTTTCAAGAAACTCAGCGTTTTCTAGATAAATGAGCATATCTGTTGTATCCATATTTCTTATCCAATATCTTTTTCAATATAAAATAGCATTCAACTTGTCGATAAGAATATTTTTGTGGAATGTGATTATTTTTTCTGCGTATTCCATTATTGTCAACTTATTTGGTCCAAGAATAAAATTTGAGAGAAAAATATAGATGAAATCAACATATTTCAGAACTGGATATATTTTTCGAAAACGGAAAAAAATTATGAATGAAAGCCTGTAAATTGAACGATCCACTCTATTTGGTCCCCAGAAAATGTCAGAGTACTACGAAAAAGTTTGCGGAGATAAAGAAGCATATACCTTTAAAAACGTATCACCCTGTGGATTTCAAAAATTTGTTAAATGTTTGAAATGATGGATTTCCAGAAAGTATCAGCCACATCAAATTTAAAATTCATCTCGGACTCATGTTGATAATAAAGTTTTCTAATTTAAATGAGTAGATCTATCAACCATTTCAGTTTGTACCTCAAAACCATGATCACCCTGTATAATGGATGAGGAATAATCAAAAGGTGACTGAGTGATTGAATTATACACAGTGATTTTGGTCTGCATTGACGAATGTTTAGATATCCGAGAGAAAAAAAAAATTGTTTTCGAAATATTCCTTAAGGAGAGATATTATGCAAATTAAAACCACTCAATTACACTCAGCACAAGGAGTAAAAATCTACGAATTTTTGCAACACTTCTACACTATTTTATGTTAATAATGAGTCTATTCGTTGTTCGAAATTGTTGGATTTTAGAGCTCATTTCAAACGTGCCATGTTCTGGGATAGAACGAATAAATAGTGACGTTTGCTATTGGCCAGACTCCATTCCAACTCATGAAGCAAGATTGTCAAGTCACCAACTATAATCCAGTTATCAAAAAGTCCTGTCTTGTTGTCACGTCAAGTGTCGCTAACAACAACAAAACATACTCAGGATGTATCTGGGCGAAACATTGTGTCAATGCCAACTATTATACTCCACCTATAAACTATATCTGTTTTACAAGGAAGCAAATGATCGAATGACTGAACATTATGCCTCAAGATATATTGTATTTCTACGGATTTCCAACCTTGACAGGTTGTCTTTCTAAACAAAGGCCTATAGAGCGAATAAATAATTTTCACAAATATATGACAATAAATCATTCATTAGAACAAACATCATTGATTGGTAAAGGACACACTTTAGAAATTGCTCGTTCAAGAATACCATTTTTAGTTCTAATAGAAACAACAGGGGCTTTCTTATCAGGCCCTAAAAACACTTCATATCCACGTCCAAGCTTCCATTGAAGAGGGGGAAGATTATCTTCTCGCACTATTACCATTTGTCCAGTTTGCAAGTTGTCTTGCTCTTCTCTCCATTTATGACGCTGCTGAAGTTCGGTGATATAGTCCTTAGACCACCGATCCCAAAAATATTGATATATCAGCTGAATATGTTGGTATTTTGAGAGTCGATTGACAGGAATGTCTTTCAAATTTGGATCTGGTAAGCCAGTGATTCGTTTTCCGATGAGAAAATGCGAAGGTGTTAAAACATCCATGTCATTAGGACTGGGTGAGAGTGGGGTTGAAGGACGGGAATTTAGAGCTGCTTCCACCTGTGTGAGCAAGGTAGACAATTGTTCAAATGTTAAAGAAGCCTTACCCAATACCACAAAAATTTGGAGAATTAGAAGGAATGAATGTCCAAGTCACGCTTTCGTTTGCAAAGTATTCTACAAGGAAACTTTCTACATTTTTCAAATATTCTGCCAATTGTTTCAATTCTGAGTTGGCTCCAACAAAATTTGAGCCATTATCAGACCTCTACGAGAACAAAATCTTCTGAAAGTTGCGATAAATGCTTCGGAAGTGAGGGATGAAACTAATTCTAAATGTATCGCTCGGGTGGAGAAGCAAACGAATAAACAAACATAACATTTAGATTATTTCGCGCCACGACCAGGTTTATTTATTATTAGGAGTCGACCTGCGTAGTCCACACCAGTTGTGAACAAAGGGGGCATCGGGCGAACCCTTTTCTCTGGTAAAATACCCAATATTTGAGAAACACCTCTAGGTTTATTTCTGAAAAATCGAATACATTGAAACACCAAATTCCTTCCAGTAATGGTCCAATAATTTTCTCTTATCGAACTCAATAACATGAGGGGACCACCATGAATAAGTCTTTCATGTTCTGATTCAATTAATAGATACGTAAAATAATGTTTCGATGATGAAACCAGCGGGTGTTTTTCAGTATGATCTAATTCTGACAGTCTTCCCCCCACTCTGAGCAGATGTGATTCATCCAAGAATGGATTTAAACTAGCAAAAGACTTCAGCTTAATCTGTTTCCTAGATTTAATATAATCTATTCCTTCCGAAAAAGACTCCATTTGGGACAATTTCAATAAATTCGTCAGAGCAGAATCTAATTCCAATGGGGATAGAGATTCATAACGTATATTGTTTTCATTTCTACAATTGTGAGTAAATCTGAAACAATATGCTAACGAACGTTCCAACTCATTCAGAGACGAATATATTTTTTGTATTGCATGACAAGTTATGAATTGTTTTTTATTTCTGGCATAATTTCACGTTCAACTCCTTGTATCAATGAGAAAGACCAATTTTCCTCATTCAAGGAGAGCCACTGAGGACCTTTCCACCGAATTTCACATTCACCAATTTTTTCTGGAGAGATACCTGAAAATTTAAGGTCTAGGGAAT